TTAATGTACATTTAATTGTAGCATTTAGGAAATTCCTTAGTGAAGGTTTGCCTAAATATATTGAATCTGTTATTTGGTCATTTATATTACTTTGAATTCAAGCAATTACTGCACGTTCATCTAGTATGGAAGCATGCTGCCAGCATTTATCAAGTCAACAAACTTGTGTAACTTTGCATGCCTATATGACTGTTCAGGTTGAGGTCCGAATCCATAATTACACCTGGATTTCCAGCTTGGTTTGTGTTTTTTAACATCAGAGATTGAAGCTCAGCGCTGACTTTTAATCGTTCATCCGTCCTAGCAAAAAAAATTACTTATGTTTTATCTTTGTTTAATTGAATTTTTTTTTTGACACATCCAGTTGTTGATTTGTTCAATGCAATTACACAGCCCCTGTATTGGTTTGTAGTCCCCTGGTGATATAGTTATATAGATTTGTGTGTCATCTGCATGACTATGATAATACTCTTTGTTGTTTTCCCTAATCTGAGCCAATGGAAGCATGTAGATGTTGAAGAGAAGTGGCCCAGTATTGAACCTTAAATTGACCCCTTCTAAATCACATTGTTGGTGTAACTCACAAGTTGCGTTGCAGACCCTTGAGGCTGCGTTCATTAAAGGTCCACTTGTGGTGACCACTTCCACACAGTAAAGCACTCCAGGTATCAGATCCGTAAACCCCACATTCGTAGTAAAGTTGCTCAGGTCTGTGACGTTTTTCACCATGAGATTGTCTCTGAAAAGCAATACAGCGTACGAGCCCACCAGTCCCACTGCTTCTTTCCAGCTCACTGTCATTGCAGTTGTGTTTCCAATTGCCGTGACGCCAGAAACAGCTGCAGGCTCTGTAAAAAGAGATTTCAATTTGACTTAATGTACATTTAGAAATTCCTTAGTGAAGGTTTGCCTAAATATATTGAATCTGTTATTTGGTCATTTATATTACTTTGAATTCAAGCAATTATTGCACGTTCATCTAGTATGGAAGCATGCTGCCAGCATTTATCAAGTCAACAAACTTGTGTAACTTTGCATGCCTATATGACTGTTCAGGTTGAGGTCCGAATCCATAATTACACCTGGATTTCCAGCTTGGTTTGTGTTTTTTAACATCAGAGATTGAAGCTCAGCGCTGACTTTTAATCGTTCATCCGTCCTAGCAAAAAAAATTACTTATGTTTTATCTTTGTTTAATTGAATTTTTTTTTGACACATCCAGTTGTTGATTTGTTCAATGCAATTACACAGCCCCTGTATTGGTTTGTAGTCCCCTGGTGATATAGTTATATAGATTTGTGTGTCATCTGCATGACTATGATAATACTCTTTGTTGTTTTCCCTAATCTGAGCCAATGGAAGCATGTAGATGTTGAAGAGAAGTGGCCCAGTATTGAACCTTAAATTGACCCCTTCTAAATCACATTGTTGGTGTAACTCACAAGTTGCGTTGCAGACCCTTGAGGCTGCGTTCATTAAAGGTCCACTTGTGGTGACCACTTCCACACAGTAAAGCACTCCAGGTATCAGATCCGTAAACCCCACATTCGTAGTAAAGTTGCTCAGGTCTGTGACGTTTTTCACCATGAGATTGTCTCTGAAAAGCAATACAGCGTACGAGCCCACCAGTCCCACTGCTTCTTTCCAGCTCACTGTCATTGCAGTTGTGTTTCCAATTGCCGTGACGCCAGAAACAGCTGCAGGCCCTGTAAAAAGAGATTTCAATTTTACTTAATGTACATTTAGAAATTCCTTAGTGAAGGTTTGCCTAAATATATTGAATCTGTTATTTGGTCATTTATATTACTTTGAATTCAAGCAATTACTGCACGTTCATCTAGTATGGAAGCATGCTGCCAGCATTTATCAAGTCAACAAACTTGTGTAACTTTGCATGCCTATATGACTGTTCAGGTTGAGGTCCGAATCCATAATTACACCTGGATTTCCAGCTTGGTTTGTGTTTTTTAACATCAGAGATTGAAGCTCAGCGCTGACTTTTAATCGTTCATCCGTCCTAGCAAAAAAAATTACTTATGTTTTATCTTTGTTTAATTGAATTTTTTTTTTGACACATCCAGTTGTTGATTTGTTCAATGCAATTACACAGCCCCTGTATTGGTTTGTAGTCCCCTGGTGATATAGTTATATAGATTTGTGTGTCATCTGCATGACTATGATAATACTCTTTGTTGTTTTCCCTAATCTGAGCCAATGGAAGCATGTAGATGTTGAAGAGAAGTGGCCCAGTATTGAACCTTAAATTGACCCCTTCTAAATCACATTGTTGGTGTAACTCACAAGTTGCGTTGCAGACCCTTGAGGCTGCGTTCATTAAAGGTCCACTTGTGGTGACCACTTCCACACAGTAAAGCACTCCAGGTATCAGATCCGTAAACCCCACATTCGTAGTAAAGTTGCTCAGGTCTGTGACGTTTTTCACCATGAGATTGTCTCTGAAAAGCAATACAGCGTACGAGCCCACCAGTCCCACTGCTTCTTTCCAGCTCACTGTCATTGCAGTGGTGTTTCCAATTGCCGTGACGCCAGAAACAGCTGCAGGCTCTGTAAAAAGAGATTTCAATTTGACTTAATGTACATTTAGAAATTCCTTAGTGAAGGTTTGCCTAAATATATTGAATCTGTTATTTGGTCATTTATAATACTTTGACTTTAAGCAATTATTGCACGTTCATCTTATATGAAAACATGATGCCAGCATTGGTCAAGTCAACGGAGTTGTGTAACTTTGCATGCTTTCAACTGTGGAATAGACCCCTTCTAGAACGGTTAATAAATCAAAGGATTCAAACGTTCCAGGGGTCAGGTGGAGGAAGGTGTAAGTATCAGTGACAGTTGATTGGTTCTGAACCAGCGTGGCGTCCTGGAGAGCTATCACCAGGTAGGATCAGGAAGGCTTATGATCAATTTGTCTGAGCCACGTCAGCCGGACGGACGTTGTGTTCTGTTCCTCCACTGTGAGGTCGGCCACTGCTTTGGGCCAGATGTGTCAAAAGTATTCACATTCATTACTCAAGTAGAAGTATACATACTAGGGTTTAAAAGGACTTTTGTAGAAGTTGAAGTATGAACTCAAGCGTTTTGCTTAAGTAAAAGTATAAAGTACTGTTTTCAAAACTACTTAAAGTATAAAAGTAAAAGTAATGTAAGGGGGAAAAAATGACATTACGGACAAACTCTTAATGTGTAACCTCGCACACAGAACATGTCAGTCCGTTAATGTGATCGGAAGGTGCCTTCAGATAACGTGAACTGCCGTTATGATGATGTTCCATCATTCTCCTCCTCTCTACTCTCTACCCCTGCGCCACGTTGGTGGGGTGACGTGGCGCAGGGGTAGAGGGTGCGCTGGGAATCGCAAGGTTGGTGGTTCAAGTCCCGGCTGCCCCATGTCCCATGTTGAAGTGTCCCTGAGCACGACACCTAACCCCTAATTGCTCCCCAGGAAAAAATGTTAAAAACCCATGGGTTAAAAATGTAATGTAAGTCACTTTGGATAAAAGCATCAGCTAAATGACCTGTAATGTAATATTCAGAGAAGCTGAAACAACAGAAGGACAAACGTATCGACCCGCATGCTACATTACCCAAACAGATAAAACCAGAACCCGTTTTCCAGTGACGGCTAACTCTTAATAAGGGTCGAAAAAACATTTCCCAATTCCCCAAAACCACAAATGTCACACAGCTGTAATACGAAAATGAAAGCAACATTTAATTACTTGTGACTGCGGTGACGGGTGAGCTCGTCCTTCTGTCTGATTGTCTCCGGCGACGGCAATGACTGAGATTGTGTAGCTAGTGCCTGGGATTAGTTCTGATATCACGGCAAAGTTATCATATGTACACATATTCCTCATATCTCCATTACTGCTCCACTCCAACCTGAACTTGAACACCTCACCCGGAGGTGAGGTCCAATTCAGAGAGATGGACGAGGTGTTTGTGGACACAGTAGGTGTCCCAATTTCACCAGGTCCTAAAGCAAAGAGGAGGAGAGGAGAGCACCATTCTCTGTGACTACAATCTGTATCACTTGGGGAAGTTATGATGTTTAAAATAAACCCATAAGGTATCGACACAACTGATTATATTAAATCTGTTTTCTTTTCTTTCATCAGCTTATCAGTTTATAGAAACCTCAGAGCTTCATCCTGCTTGTGATCACTGCAGACAGTCTTCTCCAACAGGTGCCTTCAGCAGATCTGAATGATCTGAAACACCTTTAAATGCTCACTTACTTGTGTATTGATAAACACTGGTGTTCTGTCCCTCAGTATTGCCTTCATTTGTCACTGCAGCAACAGTTATTTTATACTGTACACCAGCAGTCAGGTTAGTAATGGTTACACTTGTTGTATTCACACTGTTATTGTGAGTTACATTTCCATCAGTCCACTGTACTCTGTAGGAAGAGCTGTTTCCCTTTGGTTCAATCCACTTCAGTGATATAGAGGATGTTGTGACATTAGCGACAGTGATATTTCTGACTACTTCGGGCTCTGTGTGCGCACAATGAATACGAGAAGAGGAAAGATAATTAACACATTTAGAGTAAACAAAAAAAACACTGCAAACTATGTACAAAATATGAACTTCGAATTACATTTATAACAAAAGAGCTTAGGGACAATTCCCCAAAACCACAAATGTCACACAGCTGTAATACAAAAATGAAAGCAACATTTAATTACTTGTGACTGCAGTGACGCGGTGAGCTCGTCCTTCTGTCTGATTGTCTCCGGCGACGGCAATGACTGAGATTGTGTAGCTAGTGCCTGGGATTAGTTCTGATATCACGGCAAAGTTATCATATGTACACATATTCCTTATAGCTCCATTACTGCTCCACTCCAACCTGAACTTGAACACCTCACCCGGAGGTGAGGTCCAATTCAGAGAGATGGACGAGGTGTTTGTGGACACAGTAGGTGTCCCAATTTCACCAGGTCCTAAAGCAAAGAGGAGGAGAGGAGAGCACCATTCTCTGTGACTACAATCTGTATCACTTGGGGAAGTTATGATGTTTAAAATAAACCCATCAAGTATCAACACGACTGATTATATTAAAATGAAGCGAGACACTTGAAGAAACATTGTTGAACAAGGACTTCTCCGTTGAGAGGAACCATCATTCTAAAACTAGACTTTTCCATTATGCTTGTGATCACTGCAGCCAGTCTTTTCCAACAGGTGCCTTCAGCAGATTCTAATGACCTGAATTTCATGGCGGCTGCGCCATGATCGGGGTGTTTTTATGTTTCCCCGGTTGCCATGACAGGATTAGTCCTTGCACGACCATTGTTCGCCCTGCCGGACTTCGCCACACCAATCTTCGGCCTGCCTGACTTGGTCATGCCAGCATCACACCCAACCCAGAAACCAGCAAGTTGTGGACTAGTGGTGTTTTTTTTGTTATTGTTTCGCACATGGAATAAATCATTTTTTGTTTCACACCACCGATCCGTTCTGCGTTTCGGTCTTGTCCAAGCAAACCGTGACAGAACGATCTGGCCAGAGAATGGACCCAGCAGACTTGGACACCGTTCGCCAGGCAATTTCCAGTCAGGGAACCCTGATTGTCCAGCACAACTCAACCTTGCAAGAGATAATGACCAGTCTCCGGACCCTGTCCGTCAGCATTTCTGCCATTCAGAACCACATCAGCACTCCGGTCGTAGCACCCGCGCCCACCCCAGCATCAGTTGTCATGCCTACGACATCCGCATTATCGACGACAACCGATCAGGAACCGTGGATAGCAACCCTTGAGAGGTATGGTGGGGATGTGGATCAATGTTTTTAATGGAATGTGGACTCGTTCTTGATTTGAAACCACGGTTGCATGCCACCGACCAAGATGAGGAGGGTTTTTGACCATCCGGTCCGAGGTAAGGACGCCTCGAAGCGCTGGTTTTCATTATGCCAGGGACGGAATAGTGTAGCACGGAATGCCATTGAGTCGTTACAAGCCGCGTTTTATAACAGTGTCAAAATAAACTATTGAACGATGAACTAGTTTCTCATCCAGAACCGGGTTGGAGGAATTGATTGCTTTTGGCACTATGGGTAGAAAGGTAGATAAACCTTCACATTCTTACAGTGGTAGATCGTTTTAGTAAATTTGCACATTTCATCCCTCTTCCCAAGCTAACGTTGGCCTAGGGGATGGCAAACCTTCTGGTGAAGGAGGTGTTTTGAATCCATCTGCGCCACTGTCAGCCGGTCCTCTGGGTTCCACCCGCACACAAATGGATAGGCTGAGAAGGCAAATCAAAAGATGGAGACGACTGTGCGGTGCCTGGTCTCATCGAACCCTACCTCATGGGTCTTACAGTTACTCTGGGTGGAGTACGCCCAAAAGCCTCTGTCCCTATTCCAATGTGTGCATGGTTACCTTCCACCTGTTTCCGTCCCAGGAAAAGAAACTATCGGTGCCGTCCGTTCAGACCCACGTTAGGCGTGATCATTGGACCTGGCATCGCGCTAGGGCAGCCTTTCTCAGATCCTCGGACCACTATCAGGCGTACCGGCGCCGTACACCTGCCCCCCCTATGCCGTGGGAGATAGGGTTTGGTTGACCACTGAGGACCAAGTCAAAGAAGCTACATCGGTCCATTCCCAATTGTCAAGATCATCATTTTTTAATTTTACACCACCAATCCGGTCGGCATTTTGGTCCTGTCTAAGCAAACCTTCACACTGACTTTATCCAACACATTTAAATGCTTACTTACTTGTGTATTGAGAAACACTGGTGTTCTGTCCCTCAGTACTGCCTTCATTTGTCACTGCAGCAACAGTTATTTTATACTGTACACCAGCAGTCAGGTTAGTAATGGTTATACTTGTTGTATTCACACTGTTATTGTGAGTTACATTTCCATCAGTCCACTGTACTCTGTAGAAAGAGCTGTTTCCCTTTGGTTCAATCCACTTCAGTGATATAGAGGATGTTGTGACATTAGCGACAGTGATATTTCTGACTACTTCGGGCTCTGTGTGCGCACAATGAATACGAGAAGAGGAAAGATAATAAACACGTTTAGAGCAAACAAAAAAACCACTGCAAACTATGTACAAAATATGAACTTCGAATTTCATTTATAACAAAAGAGCTTAGGGACAATTCCCCAAAACCACAAATGTCACACAGCTGTAATACAAAAATGAAAGCAACATTTAATTACTTGTGACTGCAGTGATGCGGTGAGCTCGTCCTTCTGTCTGATTGTCTCCGGCGATGGCAATGACTGAGATTGTGTAGCTAGTGCCTGGGATTAGTTCTGATATCACGGCAAAGTTATCATATGTACACATATTCCTCATATCTCCATTACTGCTCCACTCCAACCTGAACTTGAACACCTCACCCGGAGGTGAGGTCCAATTCAGAGAGATGGACGAGGTGTTTGTGGACACAGTAGGTGTCCCAATTTCACCAGGTCCTAAAGCAAAGAGGAGGAGAGGAGAGCACCATTCTCTGTGACTACAATCTGTATCACTTGGGGAAGTTATGATGTTTAAAATAAACCCATAAGGTATCGACACCACTGATTATATTAAATCTGTTTTCTTTTCTTTCATCAGCTTATCAGTTTATAGAAACCTCAGAGCTTCATCCTGCTTGTGATCACTGCAGACAGTCTTCTCCAACAGGTGCCTTCAGCAGATCTGAATGATCTGAAACACCTTTAAATGCTCACTTACTTGTGTATTGAGAAACACTGGTGTTCTGTCCCTCAGTACTGCCTTCATTTGTCACTGCAGCAACAGTTATTTTATACTGTACACCAGCAGTCAGGTTAGTAATGGTTATACTTGTTGTATCCACACTGTCAGTCCACTGTACTCTGTAGGAAGAGCTGTTTCCCTTTGGGTCATTCCACGTCAGTGATATAGAGGATGTTGTAACATTAGTGACAGTGATATTTCTGACTACTTCAGGCTCTGTGTGCGCACAATGAACACAAGAAGAGGGTGAAAAATAAACACATTTAGAGTAACCTAAAAACCATCGCAAACATTATAATGTACAAAATATAAACTTAATTATCATTTCTTTTGATTGTCTCCGGCGACGGCAATGACTGAGATTGTGTAGCGAGTTCCTGGGATTAGTGAATAATAATGAACCCAGCAAGAGAACACTTTACCAGGTGTCCTCAGCACACTTAAATGCTTACTTACTTGTGAATAGAGAAACACTGGTGGTCTGTTCCACAGTACTGCCTTCACTTGTCACATTAGAAATGCTTATACTTGTTGTAGTCCCACTGTTACTGTCAGTTGCATTCCCATCAGTCGATGTTGTTGTATCTGCCTCTGCGAGCGAGAGAGAAGTTTGTTGAGAAAGACTTTTACTTTTCAACCATCAATAGTGTAAAACAATGTATTTGATATGGCACTAAAAAAAGTCATTGTTGTAAAAAATGGTTGAGGTCCTGAATATAATACATTCAATAACATCAAAAAAAGAGCACTTGTGGTGATTGTTTTTGTTTCATTCTAGCCACAATCAACTAAGAGAAGAAGAAGGTGAAGATGAAGAAGAAATAACAACTATAAGAAACAATGTTCAAGAAACTTGAAAATCAAGAAACAGCACAACACTACTCACCCGCCACCTGTGCGATCTGTGAAGATAAGGAAGAAGAAAATCAAGTTAGGTTATCTATTGCACCAGCAGAGGTCAGTATTGTGTTTAAAACCTGTTCAATGTCACTGGATATCAGCAACCAATGATAATACTGCTAAACAGGTCATGTTTCCTTAGCGTGTGAAGGGTCAAATATGCTTCAATTTCCAAAACCAAAGTATTATACAGAGATATGCGGCATTCAATTATTAAATTATGTTTTGGGCCCAGATTTAACAATATCAGTAATTTATATATGTGTAAATTACAGCAACCTGCCTGGCAAATAACCACCATGTTAATAATTGGAATTAATAATTAGAAAAATGAATTTATAATAATGAATAATTACCGTGAAGTTCATATCACTTCAATTAGGGAAAAAAAAATTCAACAAGAAAAACAACACACAAAAGTATTGTGATACAGTCCAATATGGACTATGTGTGACCATAATGTGTTTGATAGAAATAAAAAAAGAGTCGATAATTACAATATACTGCAGTTGGCAGTGCTGTTCTGCCAAAACAACCACAAACATGTGTTGTCAGAGAACAATCATACTTACAACATGATGTCCCCACAACTCAAACTCTGCATGTCTACTGTGGTTATAATCTGCTTCCTGATAGCAGGACTAAACACAAAGATGTGAGTCCACTTACAATTACTTATTAGCCAAAACTTGATCGTCACATGGCGGCTCATGGACATGTTGCCTTTCAGTCCATTTACCGCACAGCTAAACATTAAACACATGGCATCATCGCTCAGACTTGCATCGTTCTTTTCGCCACAAAGATTAACACCAGAGGAAATCATTAACTGCGAATCATTAACTGCCTCGAAAGTATTGTATTTCCATACAATTTTCAATAGAGTGGAGCAAAATAGGTGTAGTGACTCAAAACAGGTCGGAGCAGGAAACCGAGAAAGAAAAGGTCTATTCTGCTTGAAATGTTGCCCCTTCCACTCGGCCCACCCTGGAGACCGCCGTCCTCCTTAACTTTACTTTCTCTATTCACAACAGTGACCCTTCCCTTCCTCCCAATCCCCTGGGACTCTATTCTTCTTTCTGAAGTACAGCGATGCCACACAGAGGTGCAAGAGGAGTTCAAGGGTTCAGTCCTCTTTGATGATCTGGTATTCTAGTTGAAGGCCGACAGGGTCGGAGAACGTCAGAACGCACCGTGCGTTGAGACACGTTGTCATTGTCATCAGTGGAAGTAGATATTTTAAATAAAATATAAGCGCGCGTTTGGGTGTTTTATCCTTTACGAAAGTCAAGGCATTTGATCGTTTGAAAGTCATCTAAAAAAAATGTGAACAAATAACTAACTGATTAGGTGGGGTGAAAAAATCCTGTAACACTGGGGGGATGTTTAGAGGAGGAAGTATGTCTGATAATACTTCTGCTGTTTGTGCAGGGTGGCAGGGTGGCACAGTGACTACGCTCAAAACTATTGCCCTCGTAGAGTGTTACTGGGAGAGTTTCTCACCATCAACAATTTATGACACATTCACACTTATCATCCGAAACATAGAAGATGTTTTTTACAAAATAAGAGATTCCACACAGTGATAAAGATCCTCCATGTCACTGGTTGTGTTCGATAGGATAGGATAGTTCAAAGATCTCCAATTTGGTTATTACAGGTCATTTAGCAGACGCTTTTATCCAAAGCGACTTACATTACACTTTAAACCCATGGCTTTTTCACAGTTTTGCCTGGGGAGCAATTAGGGGTTAGGTGTCTCAGGGACACTTTGACATGGAACATGGGGCAGCCTGGACTCAAACCACCAACCTTGTGCTTTCCAGCACACCTTCTCTAACTCCTGCGCCACGACGACCCCTAACCCCTGGTTAAACTTATCAATCAAAATATATTTATTTTAATTTCTTGCTAAAAAAACAACTTATTATAGCGTTTTAGTATTTATACCGTTACATCAAATTTTCAAAAGATAAACATTCAATTTAAAGGGAATTAAATAGACAGATTCAATTACTGTATTAAGTTTTAGATGAAGAAATTCAATACAATAATCACACAATAAAACTTTATTGACTTTTAAAAGTGTAAACAGAAATTACCTTAAGCAAAATGCTATCACACCTTTAAAAGTATGTCCCAATATTTAATAATATTATACTGTTTGAGTGGGATCATTGCTTTTGCACACACAGTACAGTATCAAAGTGTTTTTTTTAATTAATTTATCGTTATCTTATAATATATCTTGTTCTAATATTCTGCCAATTAGATACTGAACAACAACTTCTAACACATCCTCACATCATTAATGTGGATGAGGATATTGAGTGAATAGAGGTAAATGCGATCAAATTATACATCTCATCCAAATTTAGCGCACCTTTTGCCACATGCTAACATTTCAATTTAAAAAACACAAATGTTTTACTTGTCAAGTGATGAACGTCTCAGATAAATGTTTTGGTCCTGGTCTTAGGACTTAGTGGCGGGGGGGTAAGGCCTGCAGATTTCACACATGGTTCATTCTTGAGCACCTTTGCAATAAAAGCAAGCAGAGGTCTTTGTTGGTTTTTCTAAACACATTATATGCATAAGTACTAAATGTCCAGCAGCAGATAGAGAAGAGACGAGCTGTTTAAGCTAGCAGGATGTGATGATAGCTAAAGTATTTAGAAGGTCAAACATCAAGATACTTTTCTAAAGGGATCATAGAGAACAAAACAAAGTAAAGAAAAGAATAAATATTGAATTACAACAACCAGGTGGTATGGAATGACTCGGAATGAATGGTATTTTTCCTCCATCTTGTCTGGATGTGCAAAGTTTGCTAGCATGTTAGCTAACCTAACAAAGCGATTGTGTAGCTTTTTGGGTCATTTGAACTTATCAAGACCGTAGGAGCACAGGTGTGACACGTGACATCAGGGTAAGACTGTTTGCACAGAGTAGAGCGTGAGAAATAAAGAGACTAAATGGACATGGCTGTTACATTTATATCACATTGAGTTACATTTTTTGTTATTGGTTGATTCAAGTTATTTTGTCTTCAAAGTTTGCTGTATCGAGTTGGATCAGACGGTGTATTTTCTTTTGGTAAGACCAGGTGCAATTACCTTTATACCTCAGCTTCCAAGCACACTTAAAAAAACACTATATAATATAACGTGGATAACTGAACATCTCAAATTTCATAAAACTCTTCTGATGAAGTTCATGGGTTCTGATCAAAAGCCCCACAAAGTTATAGGACCTTGTGGTAAGTTTGTATCCCAATCCAAGAAGTACATTTTTACCTCAACAACAGATAGCCTACTGTACATTTGTATGTGGTTAGTTTGTAGCTATATTTAAAAACTAGTTGAAAGGCCCTTTGATTTAGTGGCATCCATAAACTTAAAGATACACAACGAACCCGAGTTTGAACTTGCAAAGCAGCTGTTATAAAATTGCTCGCTATTGGACAAACTAAACCCCCTTCAACCTCCACAAGAATATGGTAAAGGTCACATAACAGCGAGGGAAATCCAATTATGACAATCTCATGTTTTCATACAAATATTCATGTTAGTCTGACCTCTGGGAATGTGATTTCTCTGAGCTATGATTCCCAAATGTTTTATTGCCCTTGGCACACTTCCTAAGTATCGCTTATTTTCCTTCTGACTAAATAAACAAAACAACGTCTCAAGCCATTATGGCCTGGCACTCACTCAAAGAGCAGAAATAACACAAACTCAAAGTCCCATTTGGGAAGTACCGCCCTTGGAATACCAAAGTTCAGCAAATGGACGTCATTTTTTTATTCATCCCCTGGGACTCAGCTCCTCCCGCCTGCGTGTCCTCCCTCCATTAAGCGCTAGTCTGTGTCTCATCTCTAGACCTCATAGAATTAATTATGGTGTTAGATATAAACTTTGTGTAAAATCGCTAGTAATATCAGCTTATTGTAGCTAAAAGAAAAAAGGCCAAAAAATGTCTGGTTATTAACTACTTTTCCAATCCTTTAAATATTGTTTTAAAGCATCAACAGTCAACCCTACAATATCAACGTTGAGGTATTTGGGGAGGGGGAATATCAAGATACTTTATTGTTTTTTGAAAATCTCCTTTGCACTCTTTCAGACCTCTCACGTGAAGAGCAATACTTAATTGTGAAACACACTTGGCTGGGACTCAGGCAATGGCCCCTTTGGCCCGTGTACTGTATCTGTGGCCTTTGACTGGGCCTGTCTGCACGGGGAGGAGGAGGAAATGGCTGTACTGACCACTACATAAACATTACATCAGGCCCGAAAGGCAGCCGGCCTGCCACTCTCTGAATCCCTTCCATTCCAAGCAGTCTGCCTTTGCGGCCGATAACGCCCCAGTTCCTTCCTCCGTAACAACACTCAAACCCCAAAACAATCGAGAGATCACCTGAAAGGCTGTTTGCTCAGGGATAAGCCTGTTGAACCTCAGCTCCTGATTATGTGCAACAAAGACGGCGAGGAGGGGCAAAGAAACGCACAACGCATGATTTCCGCTCCCTGAATTACACAGGGCCGCGCCGGGTGGTGGAGCTGCTGGCGGTTCCCTTGTTCGCTCGCCGAGTTGAGAAAGTTGATTCCTCTGAAGCGTTACTTTCTGTAAAATCATGTCATCTGACTCACTGCGTCTGTGTGTCTGGATGATTAGTGACACAGAACCAGGGCAACAAGCAAGACACGGAGAAATGCTTTTTGTTGTTATACCATTTCTCTTTGGCTCTAGGTCTTCTCACCTGTCCCATGTGTGTCAGTGCCAGTGACTTCTCTCAATATTCTTTACTCTATCCTACTGCAGCGTTCGTATGATGACGTCTTGTGTCCTCCACTTGATTTTGTTGCTGCAAATAAGAGATATCTCTTTTGTTACATCGTCAGGGAGCCTTGCCCTGTGGCACAGAAGTATATTTTTTTCACCCATGATTGTTGAATTATACAACAGGAGGGAATATATTTGAATTATAAAAGATGGAGTT